ATCTACATCGATCAATCCGAAATCGGATGATCATTGACCATATCTCAATTCCACATGTTGAATAAATATCCTACGGTCTTATAACTGGATAAAGGGATCCATATCGTACAAATCAACCATGTCCATTTTTTCATAAATTACCAACGAATTTGTTCATAAATGGTCTATCTACCTTTTGCCCAATTACATTTTTAACTATTCGTTCGGATGAATGTTTATGCCCTACAAAAGTGCTCCGTCATACAAGCACACACTCACACACACAATCGGCATGCGGCCGGTTGGTTGTTGTTTGTTTGTTACGAATCCAATTCATTGTACTTGGTTTCATCATAAAATTCTGTTGATTTTTCTGTGTTCCATTGAATAGTATTGAGCGCACGCTCATTTTGCCATCGCACGATTTCGCATGAAAAGAAAGAAGAACATCAAATATTCGCTTCTTTTTCGGCTTTTGTCCAAAGTACTGTAATCATACGAGATGTAATGCTCATTGAGGCGCTAATAAATTTCCGAACAAATTATTTCACAATAATATTTTGACGCACACAGAATGACTGAGTTAGGCAGAGAGAGAGAGAGAGAAAGAGAGAGGAGAAAGAGGGGAAAAGCGAGTGAGAGAAAGAAACATCTTTCGTCTTTAAACCGGATGGTGCTCTAATGTGAATCTGTTGGCATTGTTACCAAGCAGATCAGTAGCTGCGACGAAAGCAACAGTGGATTTATTTTTTCGTCAACTTTACCACCTTTTTCATAAGATTATGCGTAATAAGTCAGCAAGACGGCTTCCTATTAGGTCTACACTTTTACTCATTCTCTTATGACGACCGTTTGCATTCTAAGATATGTCTGCGTCATCGAAAGGCATTCGTTTCATATAATTGAGCTCATGAATTCAAGACACAAATATTTTCAATTCTACTTCAAAAACCACACTATGAAAATGATTTAATTCGTTTCACTGTGTTTGTTGGCTCAGCCAAATCCTGACTCATATTTGATATTGGATTTGTTCATCGGTGACTCAATGACAAAAGACAAATGTTCCATCTGCCGTTTCGTAAGCGAATGAAATACCCCGTTTTTTTCATTTGATGTTTTTAAGTCTTTTTTAATATTCTCCATCTACTTTGCGGTTGTTACTTGCGCTAGACGTTGTGATGATTGTCAAATCGACAATGTCGATTACGCAATATCCGATGCTTCTTCTGAAATACCCTGATGCCATTCATTCTTCCTAAGAATCTTCTAACTAAGACAAGACGAAAAATATTGCCTAAACGACGACGATGACGACCATTCAATGTCTTCGGTTTTTGTTCTCGACCCTCAATTTACATTTTATGAATACGATAAAAGGGGGAAATACTCCGTACACAACGTGAGCCGTCTCGTTTTAAATCCATGCACAAGCCCAATCCGATCTTGACTTCATTCCAAGCCGGACGACGATGATAGTAATTAAATTACATTCATTTTTGTTCTCTTCGCTGTGCTCGTTTTCGGATCCGTTTCGTGTGTGACTTGTTTTCGATGCTTTTTTTTTCTCCATTGTCAAATTGAAATGAAGAATCACTTAAGTGCGCGCGATCGCGCGTCATTCTCTCGCACACCGGCCGCGCACTACACCACGCACACAATGAATTATGTGCTAATTTCCGTTTTATTCTAACGCATCAGAACGAATGGAAATTCACGCAAACAAAACGAGCAAGAAAACAGAACTATCAAGTAATAACACAATTCATAATATTTTTATAGTGAACTCAAAACGTAATCCCATTCAAATATTATTATTTTTTTCGGCATTCTCGTTGTCTTGTTATTGCGCCGTAATTTTCCTCTCACTCTTTCCCTCTGCCTCCCTCACTCTCTCTCTCTCTCTCTCTCTCTCTGCCTCTCGCATACTTCATCCGTCACGCATTTAGAATTACAGTCGGCTTTTTACGACGATCTCTTGTCGAATATCAACATTTGAACACAAACGAAATGCAAATGAATTCGAGCGAGTTTTGAATGAAAAATTGAAAGGAAAATAAATCTGCAGTTGTAAACAAATCGATGCATTTTTCGATGGCATGTCATTTGTCAAACCATAAATGTCGAACATGAAAATGTTCTCCAATGTTCTCTTTCTTCTTCTTCTTTCTTTTTGAAATCAATTCCCGATTTTGCCATTTTTTAAATCAATTTATCGTGATTTGTTGTGAAATTTCAAGAAAGCCTCTGAATTTGGACGAAAGAGACACCAAAATGAAACCGAGGATCAAAAGAGACGATTTAAATTTCACAGAATAAATAATGGCAACAAACATACGAATTTCTTTGTCAACGTGTGCGACTCTAACCATTTTCGATTAATCTCATTACAAATTGAAACAAAAACCGCATCGCTGCAAACTGAATGCAAAAAGAAGCGATTCGAATAAATTCATGAAATTTATTGCGTCAATTAACGCCTTTTCACAATAATCGAAGCGATGATTCTTTTGACCAAATGCGTGATATGAGCAAACGACCACAATAGAAAGAGCAGACATGCACATTGCACACACAGACACACACACACACACACACATGCGACGACGTCGAACGGTTCCGATTCAAAAATGCATATTATAATCGTTGGCCGAGACGATTAAATGCATTCATATTTTGATTCGTTTTCATTTTGCGCCTCATTATCACCCCGACAACACATCGATTCGTTGTATGAATACAGCAAGCTTGGTTCACATGATTTTTGTTTTGGCATGAGCTGTGCGCGAGCAGACGATCGCACACCGCGCTTCGACCGTCGTTCTCTCTCTGGATTGCGTGTGTATCGCACGTCCCCTATTCACCGAGCCGCTTCGCCAATTGAGCCCATTTGCGAAATGGGTAAGACAAATTCCAACAACGACTCATTTACAATTTTGCTTATTTAATTGTTTGATTCGTTCATTGTGTTGTTGTTTTTTTTTCTCGCGCAACGCATAAGCACAGTCCGATAAATGCAACAAAATGGTTGAGCCCAACGCAAAAATGCACACGTGCATTTGGAATAGAGGGCGAGAATGTGATGTAATGAGAGAAAAAAAAATGAATGCAAAAATGGAAAAGTTGAATTGAAAATAGACGAAAATGGATACGGTGAATTGAATAAGGATCAAAATAGAAAAAGAAACGAGTGAAAAGAAAGAAGAAAAGTGTAAAAATAGCGAATGAATGAAGAGAAGACGGATATTGTAAGCATCCGAGCTTTGATAGAAAAAGGAAAATCCATAGCCATTTCCATGGGGTAGTTGCTGCTGTTGCCACTTTGATGTCGTCGTCATCAGCCATCTATTTGGTTTACACACAAAAATCGGTCAGATTTTGTGATGTGCGCGCTCGTTCGCAGTGCCAATCAAATTTGTATTATTGCAATTTTATTGTGCGAGCGCATTCACGAAAAATAGGTCAAAAGGTCATCCGCTTGGAAATTTTGTGTTCTCTGCTCCACACTATCGGGCTGTTTCGCCATATACACACTCACACATGCTCAACGATCCTTGAATAATGGAAAACGTTGAAATGGATTATCGCTCACATTCAAATGACACATCTATTGAAATTGTTGTGGAGCTGAAGCGCTCAATTTATGGCCGCGCTAACGTTCCTCCATGAAGAGAACGGCAATACAAAAAGGCTTTCAAAGCAACAGCAAAAAAAGAGACGAGAATGTATTGATTGGCATTCAGTGTTTTGAGTGTGTGGTCGTTTACAATTAAATTGCATCGAATTTTCACAGTCCAACAGCAGCAGCAGTTTGGTCTACCTCTCTCCGTATTTCTTCCCATCTCTCTGTCTCTATTCCGCTCGGTGGTCGCACATGAACGCCGCGGATTTCAAGCGGAAGCGATTATATTGTATAAACAGATTATATGCAGAAAATAGAATGAAATGTTTTATTCAAACAGCGAGAGAGAGAGAGAGAGAGAGCGAAAAACTGCCAATGATAACTAGATCGAGTAAAAATCGATGCATGCATTGAATAAGTTATGCGGGCTCCGCATTTTCAAAGGGTGGCTTACACGGTGGCCTTTTTCTTTCATTTTTATTCCGATGAACATTTCTCTCTCTATCTCTCGGCAATAACTTGTTTATGAAATGCAATAATTGTCGGTGTGAACGCGAGCGCCCATGCTCGAATGTGGTTGAGCTCGCAAACACCGACGACGAATGTAGAGAAATGATGACGAGCATGCGACATGCTTCATGCCACAAATCCTTGACGAAAATTTATGAATTATTCAAATAATTGCTCGAATTGTTTCCACTCGTTCGCGCTCTCGCTCGTTTTCTCTTGATTTGCAAACCACTCCATCGAACACGATTCAATTCGGTGATTGTTTTCTTGCGTTCTTCGGCTTTTGTTTCCCATTTAATTCTATTCTATTCGACAATTTTTTCGTTCACTGCTGTGACTACGTAACAGCAAATTTCACAGGAAATGCAAAAGAAACCAAGCGAAATATATGCACGTAAACATTGTTGTCAAATGAAAACGTGCGCCAATGCACACACAACACATCCGCCATCGAAAATCTTTCTTTCTTTGAATCGACCATCTAAACCAGTTCATTCATCCAATGAATTTGTATTATTTAGATTGCAATAGTTTCAATTGCAATTAATTCCCATTCGGCGCTTTTTCTCTCTCTATTCCATCAAAATGAACTTCACGAAACTGCAAATGAACGGAATAACTTTCGAGAGCGTAAATACAAATACACGAATCGAAGTGTAGAAAATGGGACTGCTTGGCTGAAATGTTCCGTTCATCCATTGTGAAATGGGAGAATCCACGCACATCTGTTTAATTAGCAAAATGAATTGATTTTTAATTGAGTTTTTCTTATAGAATTGTTTTTTTTTTCTTCCATTTTCGGTGGCGTCTCCTTGGATTGTCTTCTTGGATTGCCTTGTTGGATCGCCTTGTTGGATTGCCTTCTTCGAATATATTCGGTTGGAGACAGGCGTCGGTGAAAAGAGGCATCGAATTAACAAAAAAAATTAGAAGAAACGAACTCGACTGAAGGAATCAGAACAGACACTCATCACGGCGCGAAACACGACGAATACACATCGTCGTTGAAAACTGCAAACTTTTTTTTGATTTGCGTTAATTATTTCGAATCGCATTTTTTTTTTTTATTTCTCTTCTATAAAACACAAATCCAGTCCTGGGTGTGCGTACGCAATTCACGTAACGCCTCCCAAAATTGTAAAAGACGGGCGCGCAATGCGTGGCGATTCACAAGACGTAAGTGCTGAAGTTTGGCAAGAATGGATATTGGAGGCGATACGAAAGATTCGATCACAAAAACAACGACCATCCACACAGAGAATATGTCAGGCGATCGGCAGCCACCATAAATTTCACGAAGACATTGTTGCTGCTAAATTGGAAGCGGCTGTTGCAAATGGTGCCGTTATAAAACTATACAATAAGGGTTTGCATTCGTATAAGGCGCCGGTGGCGAGAAAAAGTGTAAATATAGCAAAAGATACGGATATTACGCGGTTAGTGGTAAAAGCGGTACGCGAACTCGGCGAATGTGATGGTTCAAATGCGAAAAAAATTGAAATCTATGTACAAAAATCCAATAATATTGTGTTGACAGACGATACGGTCGATTTTCGGGTGATTGTTAAAAATGCATTGCGAACGGCGGTGGCCAAAGAGTTTCTCGTGCAAGAGGGTAAACTGTACAAAGTGGGCAAAGTGTCGTTGACATCGCCGCGAAAGCGACGCTCAACGTCACCGCGCAAAAAACCCGGCACAACGGCCGGTGATAGTAGTGGTGGTGGTGGTGGCCCGATCGCCGGCATCAGCAACGACAAATCCATTCTGGCCAACGACTCAACAGACTCATTCACCGGCACATCGCTTAATGTAAGTAACTCAACATAATATTTTTACTTTTTGAATATCATTCGTTTTTGTTTTGTTTCGAATCAAATGCTTGCTTTGGTTCGGATATTCATTTAAATATCTCATTACAAACACAAAAGTGCAAACAGATATCAAATTTTAGGGGGAAAAAATGAGAAATAAAAAAACGACAAAGAAAAAGTATGAAAACAGCTTTGTTCTGTTTGAAAACATAAAATTATTAACAAAGAGTAAGAATTCTGTATACTTTAACTCGGCTATGGGGGAGCCACTCACTAGAACGAAAACCAGTCGAGAAAAACCGGCCAATTCACATGTTTTTTTTAATCATAATTTTTTCAAAATTAACATAAAATTTCACTTTTTTTCTTCTCCATGTCTCTATCACTCCACTTCTGTGTGTGTCTATCTGACTCTCTCTCTCTCTCTCACTCTAGCCTTATTTCATTCTTTTCCTCTCTCACACTTTCTCACTCTCGTTCTCACTTCACGTTGGCTTTCAATTTTGAGAACAGAAAAATTATGCGAAAGAAAAGGTGACAGGGTGCAATGGTTCTTCTTATTTGATTGCAGCGGGTGTGTGAATAAATTATGACAAAACCAAAATCCCCTATTAGTAAATGTGGTTATTTTGACGTTGTTCACACGCATGCACCGCGTCTAACCCATGATGAGCAATTCATTCAAAATGCACGAACAACATTTTTACCTCGCTTTTTGGCACGAATTGTTCGTTATCTAGGGCCGTACCGCTTGATAGCACTCGACCGATCTGAATTCTCTTTGCACATTTTATGCTGATTTCAGCTCTCCGTTCTCCGTCTTTCTTCTTCTCTTTCCGTAGCGGATCCACGCAAACGTAAAAACGCCACTTACAAATGCAACGCGTCTTCCGACAGCTGAATAGGAGTGTGAATTACATTTCAATTTTCAACAAGCTCTTGAGACAATTAGTGCAGACGAGGGCCTGTTAAAAATAAAATTCAAAAATAATCAGTCGACACATTCGATGCACTTTGCATATTTTATATAATTAACCGACAGTTTCGGTTCGATACAATCAAGTGATGCCATTTAATAAATCATCAATCCAAATATTCTGCGGTCGAAATACATTTTTGAATACGTCATGTTGAGGTTTATTTTACAATCCTTCGTCAATTAACACCTTCGATTTTTAATGACTGACTGAGAGCAGTCATCATGTGCTGATTATTTTCGTAACACATACTCCACGTCGAACGTATTTCATGACATAATTATTAATGCTTTATTTATGACAGATCGCTGTTGTTGAACAAACACATGTTCAGAAGGATGAATGAAAGCGAAAACACTCATGCACAGTGCACACACACTCAATGGGAACGTACATAAACTGCAATTGAATCGATTGCTGTGAGTTCACCGAACGCTTGCTTGTGAACATAACGAACAACTAAAACCAATTGAGTGTCATTACGTTCAGCAAATCGATTCCTTGTTACCATTAACACAGTGATTGTAATCATTTCTCAAATCGATGATTCGATTAGCTACTTCGTTTAATATGCAATTATGACTTAATTTTATGAATGAAACCATTTGCAAAAATTGAGCAAAATTGACACGCTTTTGGAAGAACAAATAAAGAAGTAAATTTGAATTGATCCATATTTGAATCGAGTGGGATTTTTTCTAACAAATTCGATTTTCAATGTTCAAGTTTTGAACTATTCTAAAGTTAAAAATGAAATTCTTTCGAAAAACTATAGCAAGGAAGGGCATAGATGTCTTCAATTCTATAAGGAGAGCAATGAAAATTGAAAAAAAAAGTCTCAAATTGACTATGAATGTACTAAAAATGTACTAAAAAGTCGGCAAGGGAGGATTTAAAGGATTTAAATTGAACAAAAAGGCATTAGAATCAACGAAAAGACACCTGAAAATGGGAGAAAACGCCTCTGAAATCGAGTGATTGTAAATGGAAAACCTCTGAATCGAGGAAAAAATCATGAAATTGGACAAAAGAAATCTGGAATCAAGTCAAAAATTCCCAAAAAATGACCAAAAATAAATGAAATCAAAAAAGTTCGATGAAAATCGGCCACTGCTGTTCCAAAAAATGTCACTTAATCCGATGTCATGCGTTAATTTTCCACAAAATCAGATAACGTGCCTTGTCATGACACCCGTTTTGTGTGTAATTAATTGATTCAATTAGCTGTGTAATGGTAAAAGTGACACCCAGAAGTGGAAATGAGCATCAAATTGAAAGACAATCCATGTATAATGTTTGTTTTTTTTGTTCCATGTCGTTGAACATGTCTTCGTCGTCGTCGGCGACAGTGCAAAAAAGCATGTAAAATGCAAAACTCTACTTCGGTTCATTACGATTTATTGTGTGCAACGGGACAAAATCGGTATGTCAACTGATTTATTAGAAAATGTGCGAGTGCAACATATTAATGGTGATCTTTCGTTTCGTTTGTTCAATCTGGTTGTGTTTCGATTTACGATTTCAAAAAATGTTCAAGTAAAAACGTTTCAGCGCATTCATTATGCAATTTCGTTGAGCACACACCGTTCATGAAAATCCATTTCACAAAACCGGCGTAAAATGCGTAATGCAAAAGTGATCTGACGCGACAACAATTTTGCACTCGTAATTTTGGTTTTTGTGTCGTACGTGCGCAAAGAGAAGGAAAAAACGCGGTGCGTTCATGCATCGTAACAGTGGAATTGAGTAACATTCGGTGTAATTACATAAAATTGCATCATGATTGATTTGCAAGTGAAATAAATCGAATGTCGTTGGAAGCGAGCGAGCTAGAGAGAAATGCATACACATAATAAAGCGATTGGCTTTTGGGTGAAATGTAACGAAGAAAAGTCGTTGAAAAAGCTGCAAGAAATCAAGAGCTCAATGCTGTCGAAGATAAAGAGCTCAATTTTCCGCATCATCGTGCAAAAAATGTGCACGTACATCATAATCGATCTAAATTAACTCCGGTCTCTTGTATCCATGCTGCACGAAGTTGAACAGCAAAGCGCGCACGTTCACTCGAATAACATTTCTACATGGAATTTCGGTGTGTATCCATGGCATTTTCCGTGTGACGACAAGAAATTGATAGAAACGGTATACGCAAATGGCGAATATGCACAACTTAATGAGCAATGCAATGGAATATAGGTAGAATACCTGCAGTCGTGCATACACATACACAGACAGACAGAGAGAGAGAGAGAGAGAGAGAGAGAGAGAGAGAGAGAGAGAGAGA